ACAAAACTGCTATAGAAAACCAAGGAGAAAATCTCCATAACCTTGGAGTAGACTGTGATAGTATAATAATAAATTATATTATATTAAACTTAATAACATAATATATAAATTAAATGACAATATGTAATATAATAAATTATATTTAATAATAAAGTAAATTATATTTGGTTTTCATCCCCATCTCTGACACAGAGCTCCTAAAACCCTCAGAATTTCCTGTGATGACAGTGATAAAGAGGTCTCTTTTTTGTTATTGAGGTGATTTGGGGAAAGCACCTAAGGATGGGGACTGGTTACGAGGAGAACTAACCACATGATTAGAGGGTTGGAACTTTCAGTCCCACCCCCTGGCTTCAGGGGAGGGAGAGAGGCTAGAAGTTAAATCAATCACCAATGGCCAATGATTTAATCATTTGTGCCTGCATAATGAAGCCTCTATAAAAACCCAAAAGGAAGGGGTCCATAGAGCTTCAAGGTTGGAAAACAAGAATGCTTCCACATGCTACCATGCCAGGCCCAAATTCCAGGAGGACAGAAACTCTTTTGTTCAAGACTTCACCCTACATATCTCTTCATCTGGCTGTTGATTCATATCCTTTAATACCATTTGTAATAAACTGGTAATGTAGTAAGTAAATGTGTTTTCTGAGTTCTGTGAACGGCTCTAGCAAATTAATCACCCAAGGAGGGGTTATGGAAACCTCTAATCTGTAGCTCCTGGGATTGGTCAGACACATAGGTAACGTGGGCTTAAGACTGGCATCTCAAGTGGAGGGCAGTCTTATGGGGCAGAGCCTTAGCCTTTGGAATCTGATGCTATTTCTGGGGCGAGAGTGTTGAAATTGAGTTGAACTATAGGACACCCAGCTGGTGCCAAAGCATTGCTTGTTGGTGTGAGAAACTGTCTCCCAGTTGGGATTAGGGTGCAGAAGAAATACAGGCAAATCTTCTTAGAACACAAAAAGCGTTAACTGTAAAGGAAAAAAACTTGATAGTATGCACTTTACAAAAACTGAAAATCTCTGCTAACCAAAAGGCTGAATGCTTTCCTGCTAAGATTGCCAACAACACAAGGATGTCTACTCTTACCACCTCTGTTCAACATTGCACTGGCGGTTCTGGCCAGGGAAATTTGGCAAGAAACAGAAATAGAAGGCATCCAGGCGGCAAAGGCAGAAATATAACTATCTTTATTCTCAGACAACATAATCTTGTATATAAAAAATCCTAAGGATTCCATATTAAAAAAAAAAAAAAAAAAAGAGGGAGGGACTACAACCAATAAGTGAGGGCAGCAAATTGGCAGGATGCAAGAGCAGCATACAAAAATCAACTGTATTCCCATACATTAGCAATGAACATCTGAAATGAAATTAAGCAAGCAGTTCCATTCATAACAGGATCAAAAAGAACTCAATACTTTAAATACTTTTTTTTAAATACTTTTAAATATTTTTAAATACTTTTGCTAAATAATGTTAGCAAAAGAAGTGTAAAACTCATACTCTGAAAACTACAAAACTTTCCTGGAAGAAATTAAAGTAGATCTCAACAGGTGGAGAGACAATCACATCTGCATGGATTAGAAGGACTCATTTCTACCAATTGATCTAAGACTCCTTGCAATCCCTATTAAAACCCCAGCTGGCTTCTTTTCTTTCCTTTTTTCTTTTCTTTTCTTTTCTTTTCTTTTCTTTTCTTTTCTTTTCTTTTC